TTGATCCCCACCCCCCTGTTCGTAGATATGGAAACACTGCTATCATGTCACCTCTAGTCCTTTTCATTAAGCTAGACATACTCAATTCCAGCAACTGTTCTTCATATGTTTTAGCTTCCAGTCCCCTAATCATCTTTGTTGCTCTTCTAGAGTCTCAACATATTTTTATATCCTGGCAACCAAAGCTGGATGCAATATTCCAAGTGTGGTCTTATCAAGGTATTATAAAATAGTATTAACCCTTCATATGATCTTGATTCTATCCCTCTCTGTCCCATTCTATATTATTTTGAGTTTATTTAGAATTAGAATAATAGAGTTGAAGGGACCTTGTAGGTCATGAAATCCAACCCCCCTCCAAGCAGGAGACCCTACACCATTTCTCACAGATTCCAATCCAGTCTCTTTTTGAAAGCTTCCAGTGATGAAACTCCCACAACATCTGGAGGCAAACTGTTCCATTGATTGATTGTTCTCAATGTCAGAAAATTTCTCCTTATTTCTAGGTTGAATCTCTCCTTGATCAGTTTCCAATGCTTTCCCATGCTTCCTTTGATCTCTGCCCTATGTTCTCTCTTTTCCAAATGGCTCTTTCATATCTTCCTCAAGGTCAGTTCTAAATCCCTCAGCACTGATCTTTTCAAATTCTTCAGCTATGGCATCTTCTCTTCCATCAGTCATTTTTTTTTCCTCAAGGTTAACCCAACCCAACCCAACTCTTTCAATCTCTCTCCATAGACCTTCGTTCCCAGTCCCCAATGATGTGCAGAGCTTTCTCCTCTTCAAAAATCATCCTCAGAATCGAATATGGGACTTGAGGCAAGGCTTGACCAAAACAGAAAAAATCTTGCAATTTAGAAAGGATGCTTCTGCTGATACAAAAAATACATTTGCTCGTTTTGAAGCACAATATCCTTCCAGATCGTACTGACCTTGCTATCGACCAGTATTCCATTTTTTCTTCTTCATTAATATTAGTATTCCCAAACCAGGTTCCACCTCTCCACTTGCAACTCAGCTACTTCTCTTCATCCTTCTCAGCTTGTCCCCTATTTACATGCAAATGTTTTTCACATGAGCAGCTGCTGCAGAGCTAAAAGGATTTTAAATTGTATTTACAACGCACTGCTGAGCATTAAAAGGAGCCAATATTTTCAGTTAATGGGCCTGCATTGACTTCGTTTAATACCAATTCAGATCTTGAAATAGAGATCTCCACAGTTGATACATTGAGACCAATATTGCCTCCTCAGATATTTTCAATTTTCTTTCTTTCGGGCTGGAAGGCTAGGGAATGTTGGGGAGTTGAAGTCTTCATGTCTTAAAATGGTCAAGTTTGAGAAACTCTGTAGACCATCCCCATTGTTGTCATTTTCCGATTAGGAGGCTGGGAAGATATTGATAAATAGCCTATTGTTTGTGCTTTAAAGAATGCAGGTAGTCCTCAACTTATGACCACAATTGACCCCAAAATTTCTGTTGTTAAGCGAGACAGCTGTTAAGTGAATTTTGCCCCACTTTATGACCTTTCTTGCCACAGTGTCAACGCTGCTAACATCGGATGTTTTTGCTTTGACAACAGATGGAGATGCAACCATTTTCTTCTTATGTTTTACTCTTAGAGTTAGAGTTAGATGATGCTGGGGGATAGGAATGTGCATGAAAGTTTAGCTAAACATAATAATACTGAACCTAGTGTGTGAACCAAGGTTATTGAAATAAGAGATGATAAGAATTGGTGGCTGGAGAACTGGAGGGAGAGTCTGCATTTCAAACTAATTGGAGAATGTGATTTGTGACAGTTAATTGGAGGAGGGAATTGTGCTTTGATACTATGTGCTCAGGGGAGGGGAATCCAGTTTTTGGCTTCAACTGTGTTACTGCCAATGCTATGTTTCTCAAATAAAGATTCTTTAAGGTAAACAATGCCTCAAAGTTCCTTGAAGAGTTTCATCTGTTGGAACCATGACACACAGTTGTTAAGTGAATCATTGCAGCTCTTAAGTTAATGACATGTTTATTAAGAGAATCTGGATTCTTCCCCATTGACTTGCTTGTCAGAAGCTCACAAAAGGTGATCACATGACCCGGGAACAGGGCAACCATCATAATTATGAGTCAGTTGCCAAGCATCTGAATTTTGATCACGTGACCATGGGGATGATGCAACAGACATCAGTATGGAAAAATGGTCATAAGTCACTTGAGTCAGTGCCCTTGTAACTTTGAATGGCCACTAAACAAACCAATGTAGTTGAGGACCACCTGTACACTGAATGGGTCCAGTCGCAGAGTCTGATGCTATAAGTTGGGGAAAAAAACATATTCGCCTTTGCGACGAGAGCAAATCCTGGTGTTTTCATGAACAGGAGAATAATAATATAAAAGTGATCTGCTTTCTTCCATTACATTTTTTTTCAGCTTTGCACTCTTCTCTGTAATCCTGAGTTTCCCTGACCATCTTCAAGATATTAATCAGGTTCAACTGTACTCAGTCTTATTCATAAGTTCAAAGTTACAATGGCACTGAAAAAACGGACTAATGGCCGTTTTTCATACTTATGACTACTTCAGTATCCCCGAGGTCAGGGGTCTGCAACCTTGACAACTTTAAGACTTGTGGACTTCAGCTCCCAGAATAGCTGGCTGAGGAATTTTGGGAGCTGAAGTCCACAAGTCTTAAAGTTGTCAAGCTTGCAGACCCCTGACTATAGTTCAGTGATCAAAATTGGGACACTTGGCAATGGGCATGTATTTATGACGGTTGCAGTGTCCCGGGATTACGTGATCACCTTTTGTGGCTTTTCTAACAAGCAACACCAATGGGGAAGTCAGATTCACTTAACAACCATGTTATTAATTTAACAACTGCGGTGATTCACTTGACAACTCTCATAAAACAAGGCAAAATTCACTTAACAACTTATTTCACTTAGCAATGAAATATTGGGGAAAATTCTGGCCGTAAGTCAAGAGCTACTTGTATCTCTTTCACCTCTTGTACTATCAGCCCTTCAAGGTAAGCCAGAGTGGAAATCCTCCCATTAGTTACTCACCTTTATTGTAAGGTTATAGTAGCCAGAGTCTTGCAAGTCTGGAAGTGTATCTCTCTCCACTTGCTTCCATAATTTCTGTTGCTAAGTGAGACATTTGTTAAATGAATTTTGCCCCGTTTTACGACCTTTCTTGCCTCAGGTTGTTAACTGAATCGTTGCAGTTGTTAAGTTAGTAACACAGGTGGTTAAGCTTCCCCATTGACTTAAAGCTTAACAATCTGTGTTACTAACTTAACAACTGCAATGATTCAATTAACAACCGAGGCCAGGAAGGTCATAAAATGGGGCAAAATTCATTTAACAAATGTCTCAGCAACAGAAATTGTGGGCTCAGTTGTGGTTGTGAGTTTAGGACTACCTGTATATGGCAGCAGGCGTGAGTCACCCATCTACTTAGTCCAGCTATAGTCACAAGAGGGTAACAAAGCTTCCTGCCTACTCTTCCCTACTCTTCTACATACACAGAGCTTAACTATCTTTTTAAAGGGACCTCGGAGTCCAGTGGACCATCACTTAAATACAAGCCAGGTGTGTGTTGCAGCCGCCCAAAAAGCCAACACAGTCCTAAGTTGCATTAACAGAATGATAGAATCAAGATCACGTGAAGTGTTAATACCACTTTATAATGCCTTGGTAAGGCCACACTTGGAATACCGCATCCAGTTTTGGCTGCCACGATATAAAAAAAGATGTTCAGACTCTAGAAAGGGTGCAGAGAAGAGCATCTCCAAGATCCCTTCCAGCTCTGTTATTCTGTTTAGGAGACTGGAAGCTCAAACCTATAAGAACAGTTGCAGAGATGGGTTGGGTATGCCTAGTTTAATGAAAAGAAGCACCAGGAGCGACATGGTAGCAGTGTTTCACTATCTAAGGCAGTGGTTCTCAACCTTTTTAATGCCGCGACCCCCAACCGGTCGTAAGTCAAGGACTACTCAACCGGTCGTAAGTCGAGGACTACTCAACTGGTGCAGCACCGTTTGCAGAATGGGACTTTTGGCGGGCTCAGCAGGGCAGAGACAGCCTGGACAATTCCTATTGGCTTTTGAAAGCCAATAGAATTAGACTCTATTCAAGAGAGTCTATTCTATTGGCTTTCAAAAGCCAATAGAATAAAAGGGAGTAGCACAGCTAAGGAAAAGGGGGAAAAATGGCGGACTGCATTGTTTGGCGACCCCCGTGAAATGGTCATTCGACCCCAAATGGGGTCCCGACCCACAGGTTGAGAACCACTGATCTAAGGCTAGAGGGGTGAGGGTCAAGCTATTCTCTAAAGCAGGACAAGAAGCAATGGATGAAAACTAATCAAGGAGAGAAGCAACTAGAACTAAGGAGATAGTGAGAACAATAGAGCAGTGGAACGGCTTGCCTTCAGAAATTGTGGGTGCTCCATCCCTGGAGGTTTTTAAGAAGAGATAGGACAACAATTTGTCTGAAATGATATGGGGTGTTCTGCTTTAGCAAGGGGTTGGACTGGAAGACCTCCAAGGTCCCTTCCAACTCTGTTATTCTGATACCAATTTTGTAAGGGAGGAATTGAGCTCGGGAGAGAGCAACTCGCCCTGGGCTGTACCAAAAGAAAATATGCTGTAAAGTCTATTTCTCATAGTATCCCTCCATTTGCAGTCTTTAATCAGTTATTCGTTCTCCCTAGCCTTCGTTTTGGTTTGAGATTTCTAATTTGTTCCCTCCAAGTTTTCAGGGTCAACGGCAGTGCAAAATCCCCAAACCCACTAATAGAACAATTCAGATGCAACAAAATACGGCTACTCCTGACACAATTATTCCCTTTCTTTGCACTTTAATAATGCCTTATTCCCCACCCCCACCCCCACCCCTTATCCACATAAAGAGAAAACTTCCACCATTGATTGCTTTAAGATTTGTTCCCCCAGAATTTTGATCTCAGAGAAGACATTGGTGATTGTAAGAGAGATTTCAACCTACCTGTCTGGGCTCTCTTCTCCAGTTCTGCACACTTTCTTAAGAAAGTGTAATAGGACTTCATTTCTCCTTCTGTTATTCGGACAAGGGAAAAAGGAGAAAAAGGAGAGCTCTGGCGAAGAACGTATTTTCTGCACTGCTCACACCGGGAATCCATTGATGAACCCAAGACAGTGTCAATCCTAGAGGTCTTATTATGCTGCTTTCTCCCACCGCTAGCTTTTACTCATGTCAAGCTCCCAGTTCTTGCAGGTGATTTATCTGGCTTAAGTTCACTGAAGGTCATTGTACTTTGAAGAGATCTCCCAAAGCCATTGGTCCAGATCATTATAGGTTTATTGACTGCATTTCTTCCCTCCCGTCTGCTTTTAATCGTAATATGTTTTCTTTTTTCTCTTTTACTTCACTGAGTTTGCGGTTCAGTACAGAATGTACCTTTTTTTAAAAAAAGAAAAAAAAGAAAAATGCTAATCGTAACCAAAGGGACGACAAATTATTATAGCACGTTTCTTTTTCCTGCACAAAACATGCCTTTCTCTCCGTTTCTGTAATGCCTGTTCCGGCTGCGATTATCTTTTGCCAAGGAAGGATATTCACAAATTGCTTCATTTTCTTGTGAACAGCATCAGCTTTTGAAATAGCCAGAATACCTGATGGATTTTGCATGCAGATTTGAATATTGCATTATGCCCCAGCTGCAGAGCAAGAACTATGCAAAATAAAGAGGCGGGGCTATTCAAATCAAAGCAAGTACTTTGATTGGTTGGTGTCACCAGAGGAGGAAGCAAGTTTAACTCTTACTCCACCCTTTATTTAATGCAAAGAAAAGATTGTTATTAGCACTAAAAAAAGAGGTGGTCTCCTCAAGTGTAGCTGTAATGGTTTGTGGGAATGACCTTGGGAGACAGCGGCAAATTGAACAACCAAAACTCAGCTCACAGAAGGAGAGGAGGAGTGGAAAGGGTTTTCGAAGGGATTCCTCTATAGTTTTCTGGAGAGAAAAAGGAAAGGAGGAGAATAATAGAATAACACAGTTGGAAGGGACCTTGGAGGTCCTCTAGTCCAACCCCTACTCAGGCAGGAAACCCTATACCATTTCAGACAAATGTTTGTCCAACCTCTTCTTAAAAACCTCCAGTGTTGGAACATCCACAACTTCTGGAGGAAAGTTGTTCCACGGATTGAATATTCTGTCAGGAAATTTCTCCTTAGTTCTAGGTTGTATCTCTCCTTGATTAATGTCCATCCATTGCTTCTTGTCCTGCCTTCAGGTGCTTTGGAGAATAGGTTGACCCCCTCTTTTTTGTGACACCCCCTGAGATCTTGGAACACTGCCATCATGTCATCCCTAGTCTTTCTTGTCATTAAAGTAGACATACCCAATTCCAGCAACTGTTCCTCATATGTTTCAGCCTCCAGTTCTCTAATCATCCTTGTTGCTCTTCTCTGTATTCTTTCTAGAGCAGTGCTTCTCAACCTTTCTAATGCCGCGACCCCATAATACAGTTCCCCATGTTGTGGTGACCCCCAACCACTTATACATCACTGGGTGCCAGGGGCGTGGCCAAAGAAAAGGGGGGAAAATGGCGGACAGCCTTGTTTGGCGACCCCTGTGAAATGGTCGTTCGACCCCAAATGGGGTCCCGACCCACAGGTTGAGAACCACTGCTCTAGAGTCTCAACATCTTTTTTATATTGTGGCAGCCAAAACTGGATGAGAGCCTTGGGCTATCCCACTGCATGCCTCTCCCTCCATGTAGATGAAGTTCCCTTGAGAACTACTCTTTCAGTCTTGTGAGATTCATGTTACTCTTCAAGATAATCCAGACAAGAACCACCTGTCTTTATTGTCCAACTACAATAACAAAGATTTCCTATCTCCCAAGATCCCTACATATTATTCCAATAGCTAATGGACCCTAATCCTCTTGCTCTAAGCCAGTTTAATCAGCCATGATGTATTAAAGTAGCCATGAGTGAGTTCACATTAGATGCCAGGACTATGTAAACCACATTATGGCAATGACTGCATGTAGTTCTCGACTTACAACCATTCATTTAGTTACAACCATACATTTAGTTACAACCATTTGAAGTTACAACGGCGCTGAAAGAAGCGATTTATGACTGTTTTTCACACTTAGGACTATTGCAGCATCCCCATGGTTATGTGATCAAAATTTGGATGCTTGGCAATTGGTTCCTCTTTATGATGGTTGCAGTGCCCAGGGGTCATGTGATCATCTTTCGTGAAAATAAAAATGGAGAGAGATATATATAACCACGTTCCGATATATAAAGGGAAGCTACAGGGAAGACAAGATGGAGGAGGAGGATGGATTTTCAGCAGAAAATAGGACCATAAATAATGAATATTTGTTTTAGCTACTTATGTAGATTTCCTCTAAATATAGGGGAAACCTTCCTGATTGTAAAATGTGTACAACAATGGAGCTCTCTACCTACAGAGATAGTTGGATCTTCATCTCTGGAGGTGTTTAAGAAGAAAACAGACAGCTCTGAAGAATGGAACGGAACAGAACAGAACAGAATAGAGAACAGAACAGAATAGAGAGTAGAGTAGAGTAGAGTAGAGTAGAGTAGAGTAGAGTAGAGTAGAGTAGAGTAGAACCTTGGAGGTCTTCTAGTCCAGCCCCCTGCTCAAGCAGGAGAGCCTATGCCAGTGGTTTTCAACCTGTGGATCGGGACCCCATTTGGGGTCGAATGACCATTTCATGGGGGTCGCCAAACAACGCAGTCCGCCATTTTTTTCACCCTTTTCCTTAGCTGTGCTACTCCCTTTTATTCTATTGGCTTTTGAAAGCCAATAGAATAGACTCTCTTGAGTCTAATTCTATTGGCTTTCAAAAGCCAATAGGAATTGTCCAGGCTGTCTCTGCCCTGCTGAGCCCGCCAAAAGTCCCATTCTGCAAATGGTGCTGCACCAGTTGAGTAGTCCTCGACTTACGGCCAGTTGAGGGTTGTGGCATTAAAAAGGTTGAGAACCACTGGCCTATGCCATCTCAGACAAGTGACTGACTAGTCTCTTCTTAAAAACCTCCAGTGATGGAGTGCCCACAATTTCTGAAGGCAAGCTGTTCCACACAGTTGAACACTTTTGCAGGGTTCCTTGAGATTTTTTTTCTAACTCTACAATTCCATGGCTCTCTATGACTCAAAACTTCATCAGCTTTTAAAGATTCGTGGACTGCAGAGCAATTAAGGATTAGTATCCATTGTGATGATGTGTGATTGAAGGCCTCTTTCTGACTCAGTATAATTTCTTCTCCCTGTCTTCTGAAACATCAGGAAGATCCTTTTAAACGAAAGTCCAGAACTTTCTTGTCAGCTTCGGCATCAAAATATGAATATTGATCCACCTTAGACAGGAGGTCGATGGCATTAGAAATGTTAACAGGTCTCCACATCAAGATTCCAGGGTGAAGACGTTTATAGCTCTGCTTTGTTCTTGAAGGGGTTTTTTTTTAGATCAGCAAAAAGAGCAATTATGGTTGAAGTCAATACAGCCAGAGCGATTCCAGTGAAGTAGATTGCAGACCCCACAGATTTTTTTCAGTATGTATTTTAAGCAAAACAATGAAACTTCTGCAATAGGTTGGCATCATATTTAAATATGTGTCCAAGTATTTAAATAGGTAGAAATGAAACCTACAATTGGGAGCTGCAATACAAGTTAGCCCTCAGCTTACGATAATTGAGCCCAAAATTTCTGTTGCTAAGTGGGATGTTTGTTAAGTTTTCTCCCATTGTATGACCATTCTTGACCTAGTTGTTAAGTGAATCACTGCAATTGTTAAGCTAGTAATTCAGTTGGTAAGTGAACCTGACTTCCCCATTGGCTTTGATTGCGAGAAGGTCACAAAAGGTGATCACATGACCTTGGGATACTACAACCGTCATAAATATGAGTCAGTTGCCAGGCGTCTGAATTTTGATCATGTGAACATGAGGCTGTTGCAATGGTCGTAAGTGTGAATAATGGTCATAAGTTACTTTTTTCAGGGCCACTTTAACTTTGAATAGTCACTAAATAAACTGTTGTAAGTTGAAGAATACCTATAAGGCAGACATGTCAAACACAAGGCCCGGGGGCCAGATGCGGCCCGCGAAGTGGTTTCTTGTGGCCCGTGAAGCCATCCTGGAAACAGTGAGGGAACGGCCCCCGCTGCCTTGGCCCTGGCCCAGGCCAGCCGGGAGCCAAGGTACAATTTTGTGGTGGCCATCTATGCTGAAATACATTCAGTCTTAGCTCCACAAGGCCGTCGAGAAACAGCGAGGAACCAGCCTCTGCCATGTTGGCCCTGCCTCCTGGGTGCATGCTGGGAAGGTGTCACCCTTTGTGAGGAATGAAGAAATGCACCATGCCTTGGCACTTGCCCCGGTCCCAGCCCCTTCTGCCAGAGACCCTCAGATCTCTCCCACTCCTGCCCAGGCCCCCACAGGCACTCTTGACGGGAACGATGTAGAGCTGGCCATTCCCACCCAGTAGGCCACACCCACCCTGGCCACACTCACCCGGCTCCCTGAGGGCAACCGCAATGCTGATGCGGCCCTCAATGAAATTGAGTCTGACACTCCTGTTATAAGATGTCAGAAAACTGAGTCTTCTTATTCCAGGTGCCAGCCAGCCCTTCTTTCAAATGACTCCATTCCATCTCACCGCTATCAACAGGCAGTATCCCATGTTCCTTGTCTACTGACTATGCTCAGTCCTCACTAACCATCATATTTTTGTGCGCTTCTGCAAGTACTGAGTTTTCTCTGAGAATGCTGAGATCTTCTTGGTGCCTTAGAGCAGAAGTGGGAACTATGGCCCCTTTATGACTTGTGGCCTTCAAATCCCAGAATTCCTGAGCCAGCATGGAATTTGGGGAGTTGACATCCATAAACCATAAAATGGCATAGTTGATCACTCCTGGCCTAGAGTGTGATCCACTCGTCCTTGAGCTAGTAGAAAAGGATGCTGGCCTAAAGTCTGCCATTCCTATTCCCAATTTTTTTTTCCTGTCACAAAAATGAGATTGGCAAATGGCGTTGTCTTTAAATACTTATTGTGAGTCAATTTAAGAATGGGGATTAATTGATTGTCCTGGCTTCATTTCCAGTTCCATCAGCAATACCTGCCGAAGGGAGAAAATAACCACAATCACTCTCCTTAATTTAGGGCAGGGGTAGGCAACCTTGGCTCTTTTATGACTCGTGGACTTCAACTCCCAGAATTCCTGAGCCAGCGTGGCTCAGCTTGGAAACCTCTCCTTTTCCCCTCAGCATGGCTGGCTCAGGAATTCTGGGAAATGAAGTCTACCAGTCATAAAAGAGCCAAGGTTGCCTATCCCTGGTTTAGGGCAGTGCTTCTCAAATAGTGGGGCGCGCCCCCCAAGGGGGGCGCGAGGCTCCGTAAAGGGGCGCTCGTTTGACCTCGGCAAATACTGTCATATTGGATTTCTAGATCGGATCATCCGACTCACTCGCAAGCGGCAGCCTGATGCGGAGGACAACATGACCGCCAACGCACGTGACACATGCAAAGGACCCGATTGGATAGACATGATGCTCTATCCTGATTGGCCAAACCCGCCCGTGTGACTTTTAGACCCGGAAATCGGTCCTCTGTACAGAAAAAAAAAATTTTACAGTCGCGCGGGGGACGCAAAATGTTTTCTTCTTCCTAGGAGGGCATGACAGAAAATAATTGAGAAGCACTGGTTTAGGGTGAGGGAAACTGGGCTGAGTTTCAAGGGATGCGTAGAGCAGTGAGTTTAGACTTCTGTCCTGTTGCAACTAACAGGTGGCAGTTCCTAAGGGAGGTATGGGATGAAGCGGGAGAAATTTCTTCCTGTGCTTCTGCTCAGTCTAATTCCTCCTTTGTGCCTGTTACCTATCCTTGTGCTATTTCCGGATTCAAACGTAATGCTTTTCTGAAAGAGCACTAAATCCACATTCAGAAAACTAAAAGGTAATAGGTATGGTTGGATCTTGTAGATGAAACCTACACTGGATGATAA